TTTCTAACTCACATTGTGATTTTTCCCATTTTGATCCATTGTTGATTTCTCACACAATCTATCAAGATCAACCCTTAGGAATCGATTTAATCGGGTAAGGGTGTGAAATCTTATTATCTTCTCAATGTCTATGATTATGTATGTGTTTGTTGGATTGGTTTGGATTATTGGAGAGTTTTTACTCATTTTCCATTTTTAGGTCGAAAATGGTTTAATCGATAGAAATCGATGTTTGAACGGTTAGAATCTGGAATAAATTACGTAGTTTAGTCGGAGAATGTTAGACTAAGACTATAGAAGCTGGTTTGGTGAAAATCGGATGATTTTGTGACAAGGTACCATTTTAGACAGTAAGGGTTTTTAGAGAGATCGCAGAACTCGCTATGCGAGCAGCTAGCGAGTGGTTCGCTAGGCGAGCTGCTAGTGAGCCAGTAGCGAATGGTCCCAGACTTGGGCAGAACCAAAAGATCTAACCTCGCGGGGAGCGAGGGATGTAGCGAAGTGCTCGCTAGGCGAGGCACTAGCGAGTAGGTAGCAAATCCTTCCAGTAGCTTCTGTTTGTCTTCGCGAGCTTGTTCGCTAGGCGAACCAACAGCGAGTGTTCGCCAGGACCTCGCTAGGCGAGTGGTTCAGCGAGCGTGGCAGTGTTTGATTTTCTTGCTGTTCCCATCCAATGTCGACTCTTCGATTCGAATGTGATTAACCCTTTCTCTTAAGGCATAGTTGTATGTTGTAATATGTTATACTGTGGGTAGCCGTATGGCGTGAATCCTAGATTGTGGAATCGATTGTGAATCGTGGCCTTTTGGAAAATATATGTGCATTGTTTAAATTGATTAAAAATGCATGGTGATTGTGATGGAGTTTGTTGCCGTTTGGCATGATATTGTGAATGCATAATAATTGTATGTGATTGTATTTGTGAATGAATCTATTTGATTCCTGTATACTACTTGATGAATGTAGTGATGATGTTGAAAGTATGAATATTTTGGTGATTATGAAATATGTTGTGTGTGTAATCATGATATAATTCTTGTGTGATGAATTATTTGAGAATGCATGAGATTAAGATGCGGGAACGGTCTTAAGTGCATTGGTTGTTGATTGCATACACATCATTTGTTGTCAAGAGGAAATGCTTGCTAGTTTCGTGGAGACTAGTGACTTGTCCGAAACCTAGAAGGGTGGGTTTGAAAGCTTAGGGAACGGGCTTTTGTTTGTTATTGGTCTAGGGGACGGACCCGATTTAAATGTAAAAACCGAAAACTAATAACAAGTGTTGGTACCACATGGCATGAGTTGCATTGAGTTGCATTGAGCACATGGCATGGATATAAGTGTTGTGTGAATGTATGCATATGTGTATGTTTATGAGGAATGATGAGAATTATGGATGTGTGCATGATGAATGTGCTTGGTGATTATTCCATATTTGTTTGTACATATATATGGTGATATATATGATGAGTTACGATGAATTGTGGCGAGAATGCGAAATATGTATACTCTATGCTTGTGTGTGTGTGTATATATATATATATATATATATATATATATATATATATATATATATATATATATATATATATATATATATATATATATATATATATATATATATATATATATATATATATATATATATATATATATATATATATATATATATATATATATATATATATATATATATATATATATATATATATATATATATATATATAATTATATGCGTTGATTATTATGATAATATTTCTCACCCTTCTGCTATTTTATGATGCTCTATGAGGCATTGCAGAGTAGGTATTGCTGGAGGTCTTTTTGTGAAGCGTGTCTTCATTCTTTTGTCGGTCAGCTATGATATGTAGGACCGGGTAGCTAGGATATATGATTCTTTTGTGATACATTGTACATGTATCTTGTTGTGGAATGTTATGAAAACATGAATTATGTTGTGAATCGAACTGAATGGTATTTATATATATATGTTTGATGATTATAAATGTTTAGATGTTTCCGCTTTTATTCTAAATATTGAAATGTGGGTGTAAGGACTAAGTTCCTCTGTTGAATGTTACCCCGCTGTTGCATATCTTTATTGAGCAGGTGTTGTATGTTTTAACTTCAAGTATGATGTGGCGCACCTCTTTCATACCGTATTTTAATTATACTCTGATGAATTGTTTTTTATATACATGCCTAAATGATTTATTTGATTAAATTGGGGGTATAGAAAGGGGGTGTTACACCACCTGTACTCCCGTTTCGCCGGAGGGAATTGACGCTTCCCCGACCCTTTTGACCTCGTGGGTCTCAAGTCGGGGGGTTTCGCCCCTCTGGGTATACTGTTTCAGATGCCCTTCTTTAATTAAGATCTCGATTGCATCTTTGAGGTGGATGCAATCTTCCATGACATGTCCATGGCTCCGGTGGAACCTGCAGTATTTGGATTTGTCCACGTTGGGCTTCGGGGGTGTTGGTTTCGGGAACTAGATGCCGCCTCTCTGAAATTCCGAATTGATACATTCAGCCAAGATGCATTCGTGGGGAGCTGTGAGTAGCATGTACTCAGTGAACCGGCCCGTCGGTCCTTTCTGTTCGCGGGTTCAGTCTTCGTGCCTTTTCTGCTCGTTGCGTCGAGATAGAGGAGCTTCCTTGTGACTGGCGCCTCTGAAGCCCTCCTGGTTCCGTCTATCCCTGGCGGTGTTTGTGGCCTTTATCTCCTCATACTCGATGTGTGATTGAGCTTTGTAGAGGAGGGAATTCAAGGTGTAGGGACGTGCGATCCCAAAAGCCTTGGCGAAGTCAGAGTATGGTATTATGCCTCTTTGGATCAAGAACTTCTTCATATCATCCATGGTGGACACTTGGACGGCTTCACAATTGAACCTCTCTATGTAATCTCAGAGAGGCTCGTTCTTCCCCTGGATTATGGCTTCCAGGGCTGCTTCTGTCTTCGGATGGTGTCGGAAAGTCGTGAAGTGCCTAGAGAACTGTCGCTTCAATTTACCTCAAAAGGTGATGGAATCAAGCGTGAGGCGTTTGTACCACGCCATGGCTCCCTTCCTCAGGGTGGTGGGAAACAACCTGCACTTGATGGCTCCCTGTACATTCCGATAGTCGAGCATAGTGTCTATGCTTTTAATATGGTCGTCTAGGTCAGTCGTTCCATCGTACGTTGCCAAGATCGGGGGGTTTTCCATTCTGACGGGCAACGGGGCCTCTCTGATGGCTCTGTATAGCAGTAAGCACTAGATGTCTTTGTCACTCCTGATGAGAGACAGTGAGGGGGACGTTGACCCCTGGTGGTTCCTGTTTTGGCGTGGGGGGCCCCTTGGTCGTGCTTTCGGTCTGGAGGGAACCCCGACGACTTTCTTCTTCTGAGTCGGGGAAAGATGTTTTCTAGGGAGGCGACCTGTCCCGTTTGTGGGAAACCAGCTGTTGAGGTCACTCCAAACGAGGGCGGCGCCCCGTTGGTAGTGGAGAGGGACTCCGTGAATCCTCGACGAATCGCGTCCTCCGCGGGGGAGGAGATGGACTGATGGAAACCAGGCGGCGGTGTCTCCGCAGGGGAGGGGACAGGCTAAGGGAAAATTGGCGACGGTGTCTTAGCGGGGGATAGCATGATGGTCGTTCTCTCTCGAGCATCCCTATCTGCTCGTTCTGCCCGAAGATCATCAAGTTGGTCTGATTGATCGTCGCGAACAGAGCTACCATGGTATGATCGGCGCCAACTGGGACCGGGATGAGCTGGTAGACAATCGGACTTTCTAAGCGTTAGACGGCGTTAAAGGCCGCGACCTTTAAGGAGGGAGAGGTGGTGTACCCGTCCCTGTGGTCACCTTCTTCGTTGCGGACGACCGTGTTGGGGTCGTGACCGTCCCCGTTGGAGAAGGGGGTAAAGGAAGATCCTGGAGCATTGCTATTGCTCGGGCTGGCCATGATTAGAATGGGAGTGGAAGGTTGATTTCGCTTTGGTTCTCGAGCTTCTGTTCTTGGACAGGAGAAAGAACGGGGAAACAGAGGTTCCCATAGACGGCGCCACTAATCTTACCTGATCGGAAATGAATCAGTGACCAGCCACGCATCGTGAGTTGCTTCCTTCACCGGAGTTGTGGAGGAGAAAAGGGGGTGTACCTGCAAGATGCTCTGATGCTTAAGTAAGTACCAGAACTAGAGAGAGTAAGTACAGAGAGAAGATGTAATGAATAGAATACCTGACCCTCTAGTGAAAGATGGTATTTATAACGTGCCTCTAGTGCAAGGCCAACAGTTACATTACATTAGATCGAATTGCCAAGCCCAACACAAATAACTGTCAGGGCTTACGTAGCATAGTGAAGACCAGCACGTGGTCTTCGCCCTGGATCAGCTGCCCCGTGATCTTCGGATGGTAGGTTGACCATCTCTTTCGGAAGTAGGTAGTTGCCTGATGACGTGTTCCCGCGTGGGGGACACGTGGAGAACGTGGGGGAAACGCGTGAGCTTTCCTGTCAAGAGAGTCTTCTGCCCGATGGATGTGCCTTGTTGAGGCTCCTGCTCGACAGAGGAAACTGGGCCTTGTTAGGCCTCATCAGCATAGCCTTGGGTGGGCCTGCCCGACTAAAGGGCAGGTTCCGATTCAATCCTGAACAATAATTATCAGAGACATTATTGTTAAGTCATACATAATTTATTTTTTCTATAAAATAATAATTAAATTTTTAATTTGTGTGAAATGATTTAAAACGTTACTATTTTATTTACTAATAAAAGATAAAATAAATAAAAAAATTGTAAACCGAAATTGATTAGATAATTTCATGAATGGTGTTGAGTCTTTATTACACCAGTACGGAATAACCATTAACTTGACCATAACGATAAACAAAAAATAAAAAATAAAAATTCATATACAAAATTAATTAGGTGCAAAAGAAAACGTGAATTGGAGGAGAAAAATCTCTGCATCCCAAAATCCCAACCCAGAACTTTCTCCTTCAATCAATTCCGACGCTATGTGTTGTGGCCAACATCCGTTGTTTCCAAAAGACGCCGGTAACGATCACTCACCGTCGGCGCTCGACAACCTCCGTGTCCGCCTTGCCGACACCGAAGCTCGCCTCGCTCGCGCCAGAGCTCGTGAAGCCCAGCTCACGCGCCGTCTTCACGAGATGAAGCGCTTCTTATCCGTCATGGAAATTCTTGAAGGTTATCTCAAACGCCGTTACCGTCTTCAACAACAACGTCTCGCTCGCCTCCTTTCTCTCCCACCGGCCCTGTAACCGTCACCGGAAACCCTGTCTATATGCTGTTGTTACAAAATTGTGGATGTTTGTTGTAAAATTCGCGCTGCCTTAATCTTTGATTTTAGCGGATTTGTGGATTTCGTTTAGAATCTTCGTTGTTAGGGTTTATTGTTTAGAGGAATTGTTGTTGTTTTTATAGATTTTGTGAATTTGATTGATGATATAAGATTGGAAATTGTTACTTTGTTGTTTGTAGATTGAATTGAAGCTGTGCTATTTTCTCAGGTGATTCGTTGTTGTGTTAGGTTGAAAGGCTGAACTGAATTCATGTTGAATATATGAATAATTTGATTGATGTTCATGTGCAAATAGCTGCTGATGCTTCTGCGAATAATCGAGTCGTAACGAGCTTGCTAATTGTGCCCGAAGGTGTTTAGAAAGGACTCCTTGAATTCACACGCAGCACACATTGATGACTGTTGGATCATGATCAAACAATCTGAATTTCAAGCTCACATCTTCATATTTGGTGAATTGTGTGATCTGAATGCAATAGTTCACTAATATATTGATTGCGTGAATGCAGGGAATCTGTTTTCATTTAGAAGAGTTTATTAGTTGAGAATTTTATTACACAAACCTGTGTTTAGGTGGTGGTTAGAAGAGCTTATGAAAATAGAATAGCTTATAGAAATAGATTATGCAGAGTTATCGCCCGATTTCTCTTCCATTGTACAATTAGTTTAATTGCTAACACTTAGATGATAATTGTTAAGGGAATAGAAACCTCTACGTGTGATATTGTTGCTTTGAATTGGTACTTTAGAATTCGAAAAAGGGAAGTAAGAGGGGTAGGGAAGTAAAGGGGAGAGAACTTAATTTTATCAAAACATGATCAGAAACTTTATATATTTTAGGAAAAAGGTTTTCTGATTCATATCGTAGGGAAATCACCTTGTTGTTTGGTATCTCTGTCTTATTTAATTTCTTTGTTTACCATTTTGTAGAGATCTCTGTCTTATTTAATTTCTTTGTTTACCATTTTGTAGAGATAAGATTATTTTGTGCCGAATCTGAAGAATATTTGTATCAAATTTTTTTTGCCTTCTTGCCCTTCCCTTTTGTCCTGCTGTGTTAAATCTTCCTTCACCCTTTTGCATTTCCTTTCTTTTATCTCTTTCCAATCAGGTGTGCTGAAATTTTCTTGATCATCTATAGAGAATTTGTTATGAAAATTGGGCAGCATGAATTCAGTCATGACTTGGTGATACAGAGTTAATGATCACCTTGACCAACAAAAAATGAAAAGGTAATGAATGCATGAAATGCAGTTCATCCATCAGGTGATATATGATATGCCTTTTGTACTTCGGCAGATCACATATTATTTCAAAGTTTAACTTTGACATATTAGCATGTATCAGTGTTTCTATGATCTCTGATGGGTTAATGAAACAGTAAATAGTAGATTAAGAACAAAAGAGCAAAGATAATTGTTTATATGATGAGTAACAATTAGAAGCACCAAGAAATAGTAATGGTAGATAGTAATAATAGGTAACGTGAATTGATAACAGACTATCAATTCTCTATAGCCACAAGGCCTCAATTCACAAGAGTGAATCCATTCTAATCCATTCTAACAGAATACTTGGCTAACTATTCTCTCTCTAGTTGTCTTAATATACTCAGCTGACCTCACTCCTCATGCATCCATGCACACGCGTTTTCCTCCTCTTTTCTCTCTCTTGCTTTCCCACGCCTCCTCTCATACACTCTCCATATCTTGGGCCTGATGTTAGAGTCCAGGCCCAACTGTGTCTCCTTCTCCCCATCAATACTCCCTCCTTCCAAATTAACCTTGTCCTCAAGGTTAAAATCCGGAAACTGCCCTTTGAGTACATCATCATCCTCCCATGTTACATCCTCGACAGGTCTGTTCTTCCACTGAATTAAACTTTGAGGAGTGGAAACATCCCCTTGAACTGTCACCCTACTGCCCAACACCTGCATAGGGTATATCTCATCATCTAGTACGACCTCCAACTCCTTAGGCAACTCCCCTTGCGCTTGGTAATCCCCAATTGCCTTTTTAAGTAAAGACACATGGAAGACCGGGTGAATTTTAGACTGGTCAGGCAACTGCAATTTGTAGGCCACTACACCTATCTTCTCTATAATTTGGAAAGGACCATAAAAACGAGCTGCAAGTTTTTGATTAATCCTTTTGACTACAGACTGCTGCCTATGAGGCCTCAATTTCAGAAACACCCATTCCCCGACTTCAAACTTCAAATCCCTCCTCTTCTTGTTAGCATAGGACTGCATTTGTTGTTGCGCTTTCAGTAAATGTAGTTTCAACTGGTTGAGTGCTTCATCCCTGTCCTTCAGTTCCAAAGCCACTACTGCCACTTTGGTTTCATTGCTCAAAAATCTTAATAACTTGGGTGGTTGCCTCCCATATACCACCTCAAAAGGAGATTTTCCTATAGAGACATGATAGGTCGTGTTGTACCAGTATTCTGCCCACGGAATCCAGTAAGACCACGATTTAGGCTGCTCAGCTGCAAAGCACCTTAGATAGCTCTCGAGGCATTTATTAATGACCTCTGTTTGTCCATCTGTCTCAGGATGGTAAGATGAACTCATTTTGAGTGCAGTCCCCTGCAATTTGAACAACTCTTTCCAGAAATAACTCACAAAACAACGGGTCTCTGTCACTGACAATGGAATTGGGTATTCCATGTAGCCGAACCACCTCCCTCACAAAAACCTCTGCAACAGATTTAGCTGTGTAAGGGTGTTTCATTAAGATGAAATGACTATATTTGGACAACCTATCCACCACCACAAACACTGCCTCATATCCCTTGGACTTAGGTAGACCAGTAATGAAGTCCATGGAGATATCCTCCCAAACAACATTCAGTATCGACAACGGTTGCAACAGACCTCCAGGAGTGGTGGCTACATACTTTTGTCTCTGACAGGTGTCACAGGCCCTCACGTAGTCCCTAATGGTCCTTTGCATACCACTCCAATAGACATTTTCAGATATCCTCCTGTAGGTTCTGAGGAATCCTGAATGGCCCCCCATGGGAGTGTTATGACACTCCTTTAGTAGTAAAGGAATAGAGGGAGAATTTGGTCCTATTACCAAGCGACCATGATACATCAACACACCCTGTTGCAGAGTACAACCAGGTCTGGATTGTGAATTCTTTTCCACCTCTTCTGTTAATTTCTTCACCTCATTATTTTTCTTCACCTCTTGCAGTAATCTACTGCTCTCTAGCCAGTTTGGTGTATGTAACATAGAGGCTAATTCCCCTTCATCAAGGCACCTTGACAACGCATCCACTACTTTGTTTTCCAAGCCCGGTTTGTATTTCACCTCAAACTGGTACCCTAAGAGTTTAGCCAGCCAACACTGTTGGTCAGGTGAGGACACTTTTTGCTGTAAAAAATGTTTAAGGCTCTTGTGGTTAGTGTAAACCACAAATTCCTTACCCAATAAATAGTGTCTCCAATGCTGTATGGCTAGAACCAAAGCCATCAATTCCTTTTCATACACAGATTTTGCCAAGTTATTCTCAGATAAGGCCTTACTGAAGTAGGCAATGGGCTGTCTCCTCTGCATCAACACAGCTCCCACACCTCTCCCTGCAGCATCACATTCGACTTCAAATGGTAAGGAAAAATTAGGAAGCACCAAAACAGGAGGAGTGATCATGATTCTTTTCAATTTCTCAAAAGCTTCTTTGGCACTCTCACTCCAAAGGAAATTGTCCTTCTTTGTGAGATCAGTTAGAGGTCTGGCAATTTTACCATAGTCTCTAACAAACTTCCTGTAATATCCCGTGAGACCCAAAAACCCTCTCACGCCTTTCACATTCTTAGGACTGGGCCAGTCTAAGATACATTTTATCATTCCAGGATCGACAGCTACCCCTGCTCCAGAGATGATGTGCCCCAAATAATCAATTTGAGAACAACCAAACTTACATTTGGATTTGTTTGCCACAAAACAATTACTGACCAGCACTGCCAGCACTTGTTGTAAATGTTTACCGTGTTCTTGAGCATTCCTACTGTACACCAGAATATCATCAAAGAATACTAGCACAAATTTCCTCAGAAAAGGCCTGAAAATGTCATTCATTGTCGCTTGAAACTTAGCAGGCGCATTCATTAGCCCAAAAGGCATGACGAGATACTCATAATGACCATTATGAGTTCTAAAAGCAGTTTTGTGGACATCTTCTGAACTAGTATCTGATGGTAACCTGCTTTTAGATCAATTTTGGAGAAAATTGTTGAACCATACAATTCATCCAAGAGCTCATCAACAATTGGAATCGGATATTTGTTAGGTATAGTAGCCTTGTTAAGGGCTCTATAATCCACACACATCCTCCACGTGTGGTCCTTCTTCTTAACCAAAATCACCGGACTCGAGAAAGCGCTCATATTGGGTCTTATGACCCCTGCCTGTAACAATTCTGCCACCTGCCTCTCAATTTCCTCTTTTTGATGATGGGGGTACTTATAAGGTCTCACATTGACAGGACCTTGATTTGGCAAAAGAGTGATTCTGTGCACCTGCTCCCTCATGGGAGGCAAAGTCAATTTGTCTTTAAACACCTCAGGGTACAGGTCTAAAACCTCCACCATTGTTTCTTCCTCTATACCTTGAATTTTCTTCTTTACATTGCCACCATCCACTTTTGCCCATCTCACCTTCTCTTCCTGTCAAAAAAGCATTAACACATCCTTTTTGAATTTGTCTTTCCTTCTGTCCCTGTAAGGTAATCACTTCTCCTTTATGCCAAAACTGCATAGATAGATCCTTCCAGTCCATTATGACATTTCCAAGTGTACTCAGCCACGAGATTCCCAACACCACATCCAATTCACCCAGCTCAAACACCAAGGCATCAATGGTGAACGTTTGAGATCCCAATGTCAATTTGATTGCTCTGCATATACCTTCGGACAACACCCTGTGACCGTCACCCAACTTGATTCTTTTCACC